GAGAGAGAGAGACATGCTTGTCCCTCCTCTGTAGCTGCAGAGAACTCTCTGAGAGACAAAAGGGAGAAAAGAAAAAAACCCAAATTCCTTTGTCCCAGTTTGAAAAGTCCCACCTACATTCTTATTGGTCACTCCACCTGGCTAGGTGTAGTTAACCCCTTAATCCCCAGGCTGCTGGCTAACCCTCATAATCATGACAACACCCGCGGTCTGGAGTCTTTTCTTCCTTTTCAGTCAGGAACTAAGTGGAAAGTTGCAAGGACAATAGAGTCCTAGGTGGTGTGTGACTACCTGCATGGGGTGATTCATGCCTTCATCTTCTACTGTAACCTTCACACTAAAAATTCCTTAAAGGACACATCACATGATCGATTGCAGCCGGATTTGATTCAATCCCACAGACAGAGACAAACACCTACTAGATCTTTCTCAGGCATTCTTAAAACTTAAATACCCACCTAAGGAAGTAAAGAAACAGAATGACAGAGCCAGACTAGTACCTAAGAACTGTTTCTTCGGGACAAGCCCAACAAGGAGCTTCCTAACCATCAGGGTGGCTAAAATAAATTGCACAGGGAGGTTGTGGAATCTCCATCACTGGAGATATTTAAGAGCAGGTTGGCTAGACATCTATCAGGGGTGATCTAGACAGTCCTTGGTCTTGCTGTGAGGGCAGGGGACTGGACTCGATGACCTCTCAAGGTCCCTTCCAGTTCTAGTATTTTGTGATTTTAATCAAAATCAAAATCAATTCACATTGAAGGCCCAGGCCTTCAATATTTCTAATCTCATTAACATAGACACAATACAAGATCCTGTCTCTTTACTTACTAAACTTTAGAAAAAGGAAATATAGGAGATATATACTTAACTAGAGGATGTGACTTACTACAATATTACATAGGATTATATATTACGTTACATTACTATAGTATTGCTACATCATTAAACTACATTGCTACATTTCTTACATCATTAAACCTAAAATACAAATATAAAAAGGATAAAACTTTTAATCTGGACAGATCTACTAGATCGGTGGTTTTCAATCTGTGGTCAGTCCACAGACGATGCCTAAGAAGTTTGTGAAAGGTGGCTGTTACCACAAAGCAGTGGTTTCAGCTGTGATCCCAGCTGTGGTCCATGGATCTCCGGGCATCTGCAGACTTATGACTAAGAATTCCAAAGAGGTTCACACCGCCATTTGAAATTTGTAGGGGTCTGCAAATAAGAGAGAGGTTGGAAACCACTGTGCGAGACAAAGGCTTTGTCTGCACTATGCAGCTTTTAGCAACACGGGTGCCACTAAAGTCATGTTGCTAAAAGTTGTGCAACATTGTCAGTGTTGGTCAGCTCACTAGATAACAAAACACGGCTACCCAATGAGTGGCGTTGGCTTTGTCAGCAGGAGTACTGTTCACTCCGATGCTTGTGGCGGGCAGCCCTTTTGTCTTTTTTTGGGGGATGGAGGAGGGATCTTTCTAAACACCTTTGAGAGAGACAAGTTTTGTCGTTCACTTGCCAGTAGACATGGCCAACGAGGTACTAGCACTATCAGCCTTCATGCCTCTGGGAGAAAGCCAGATGCTAATGGAGCAGAGCGAGGAAGAAACGTTCACCGTGGCTGTGTCTAGACTGGCAAGTTTTTCCACAAAAGCAGCTGCTTTTGCGGAAAAACTTGCCAGCTGTCTACACTGGCCGCTTGAATTTCCGCAAGAACACTGACGATCTCATGTAAGAAATCAGTGCTTCTTGTGGAAATACTATGCTACTCCCATTCGGGCAAAAGTCCTTTTGCGCAAAAGGGCCAGTGTAGACAGCTCAGATTTGTTTTGCGCCAAAAAGCCCTGATCGCAAAAATGGCGATTGGGGCTTTTTTTGCACAAAAGCGCGTCTAGATTGGCACGGACGCTTTTCTGCAAAAAGTGCTTTTGCGGAAAAGTGTCCTGCCAATCTAGACGCTCTTTTCCGAAAATGCTTTTAACGGAAAACTTTTCCGTTAAAAGCATTTGCGGAAAATCATGCCAGGCTAGACGTAGTCTGTGAGTCTTCTTTGTTCCATAACCACAGCCCAAGCCCAATTGGGGGATCATCTGCTCGCCACATATATTCAGCTTATCTGTCTGGAAAGGAAGCAAACTCTTCCCCCTCCTGTCCGTGTCACATGATTCTGGTTTGTAGCTAAAACAGTAATACATGTATTGAAACAGGAGGGGCTGGCTGGCTCTGGGGGATGGGACATGGGGCCTTTCCTCTCCTGGAGACACCAGCTCTGGTCTGGGCCCCGTGTGAGGAGACTGGTTGGTTAATGGGTGGGGAATGAGATAGGGACCCTTTCCTCTCTAGGAGAAGCTGACCCCAATCCAGCCCCATGGCAGAGGGAATGGGGATGGGGGCTGTTCTACTCTAGGGGGTGCCCATTCTGATCCTGGCTCATGGCTGGGAGGCTGGCTGGTGAGGAATGGGATATGGGCCTTGTCTTTCTAGGAAACGCCAGTTCCAACCCTGTCCAGCTGGCTTCAGGAGGGCCAGGAATGGGATATGGGGTTGTTCATTTGTAGGGTACCAGGTCCACACTCGCCGGCTCTAATAGGCCGGGGAATTGGAATAAAACACTTTGCAACAACAATGCGCTGGTTTGATGTTAGAAATGTGGGCTGAGCAGACACTTGGGAGACCAAATAAGGCCAGTTTTGTTTTTGTTTTTTGTTGTTGGTGGGTTTTTTTGCCTGACCCAAAAGAACCAGCTGTCCTGTGGGAAGATGCGTTGTGTCTCTGAAGAGCTTCATGTTTTGCAGGACACGGCAGAAGAGAAGACAGAAGGGGTCCGGTGAAAGACAGAGAAATGTTCCTGGAAGACAGAAACAGAAATTGAAACTGTCGAGAAATGGAATGTGAGCGAGAGTCTGATGTTAAAAATAAAAAAGGGTAAATCCCTAGACAGGAGCTAGCTGCAAGCAATATTCAGAATGAAACCCCAGCATGGAGGTTGAAGGTTCTTAGAAGCAGAAGCTGATAACGGACGGCTCTGCTTTAGTGGATAGCACAATTATCACCGGAAGGAAGGCAGGAAGGAAGGGAGGAAAAAGAAAAGCACCTTCAAGGAGCTGCTGAGAGACATCTGAAGCAGAGACAGGAGGGAATTGTCCAATGAAACTTTTCTGGCAGAAATATACTGATTTGTCTAATCTAAAAATGACCCTTGAGTTGGACAATTTTTCAATGTATTTATATCAGAAAAATGTTAATGACTCGTTGTTGGGTTTTTTTTGGGGGGGGGGGTTATTGTTTCATTTCATTGTGACGTTAAGCTATCGTTTCAGGTTTCCTGTTTGTTTTGAACTTCAGCATTGAGCAATGTCAAAATCTGTCTGCCAGAGCACGAAAGGACCGAGAGCTTCAGCTCTGCATGTTCCTTTTGGAGAGAGCTTGACAGCCCGAGGCAGAAGGGGCGTAGGGTCAAGACTCACAGATCCCGAAGTACAAATCAGCCTCTCCAAAGCCACGGGCACGTCGAAGGACCTTTCACAGGTGGGGCTATCCAACCATGGACCTCTTTGCAACTTGAGGAATGAGAAATGCCCTGGCTTTTGCTCCCGCGCAGGGCTGGGGAAGGGATCCAGGAGAGACGCATTCATAATCCCATGGGACGAACTGATTTACTCTCCCTTTCTGCCAATACCACTGATCTCCAGAATCTTGCACTCATCTGGATGCAGCCCAGGTCATCCTAGTAGCCCCATCCTGGTCCAGACAGACCTGATTCCCATATCTACAGCACATGTCCATCAAACCACTCCACCCGCTCCCTCAGTGGCACAATCTCCTCTGTCAGAACACAGACAAGTTACTGTTTCCAGATCCACACACCCTTCATCTTCAGGCCTGGCTCCTGTCTGGTTTCGAGGTGCGGAAGTAGCCTGTTGGGAACAAGTCAGAAACGTCCTCATGCATAGCAGGGGACACGCCTCTAGAGCAACTTACCAGCCAAAATGGAAACACTTCGCATCTTGGTGTCGTCAAAGAGAGCTCAGTCCAGACAAATCACCAATCCACACGATGGTCGACTACTTATACGTTTTAAAGAGTGAAGGCCTATCAGTGTCTTCCATAAAAGTTCACTTGTCAGCCATTATGGCCTTTCATGACCACAGAGAAGGGTCTTCGGTGTTTGCACATCCCATGGCAAAAAGATTCCTTAAGGGCCTTCAGAACCTCTTCCCACCGCGTAGAGCACCAATGGCCCTGTGGGATCTGAATTTGGTCCTGGAGACCCTTAGTAGGCCCTTCGTTGAGCCCATGGCCACATGCCCTTTCTTGCTCCTCACGGTGAAGGTGCTGTTTCTGGTGGCAATCACTTCGACAAGAAGGGTGGGCGAATTAGGAGCCCTAATGATGGTTCCCCCATACACGGTCTTTGCTAAAGGTCAAGTGACTTTGAGATCACATCCAGCCTCTATACCTAAAGTCAACACCTGCTTTCACATTAATGAACCCACAGTCTTACCTGTGTTCTTTCCAAAGCCAGGCACGCCGGCTTCACGCCCTCAGTGTCAGAAGGGCTCTGGCCTTTTACATCGACAGAACAAAGACATTTCGCAAGTCCCCACACCTCTTTGTCTCTATTGCGGACTACTCCAGGGGCAACCCGCTCTCCCCACGACGCATTTCGATGTTAATACCTCCAGTGCCACTCCTTGGGTAACAAACCACTAAAGACAGCCCCAAGGGCACACCCCACCCGTGCTACAGCAACATCCACGGCACTCCTTACGGGGGTGCCCCTTAAAGACACTTATCGGGCAGCCACGAGGTCATCGGACCGCATGTTCCCAAAACATCATGCCGCAATTGGTGGCTGACACAACAGTGGCTAAGGTGGTTCTATCTGCCCTTACGAAGCAGCGACTCCGAGTCCCACCAGCCACAACAATCACTGTGGAGCATCCACGGGGACATCCCCCGAAGAAGAAAAGGAAGCTACTCGCCTTGTGCGGTAACGACTGTTCTTCGAGGTGTCCCCCCCCCCCCGCGGGTGGGGCACGGCCCCCCCCCCCCCCGGATGCGGCACTTCCCTCCCTCCCTTCCTGCTCCTCGGAGCCCATTGCTCTGCGGTAGACGAGGAACTGAGGGGAGAGAGTCAGGCTGCACTCAGCTGTCAACTGCCACCAGCACGAGAGGCTCGCAGCGCATGCGCAGCCCAACTGCTATGAAAAAGTCTCCGATCTGCGGCTTTGGGGAAGACCCGTCACCTGCAGTGGACCACCCACGGGGACACACCTCAGAGAACAGTCGTTACTGTATGAGGTGAGTAACTTCCTTTTCTTTCTGGAATTAAATCAGAGCCCCGCTATGCTGCAACATTCCTTTACCGATAGCTACATCGTTTAAAAGGCAGCAACAAAATGTTACAGTTTCCTGATGAGCTCTGTTGAAACCCTCTGTTTCCCGTGACTTATAACTTCACCAAACTTTACTCATTTTAGGGTGAAACTGGATGGCCTCTGGATTCAGCTTCAAGCTAGTGCTGGTGGGAAAACAAAGAGAATGAAAGTTGTTTTAAGTTGAGAATTAAAGTCGGTGAAGTGTTTGTAAAAGCCGTCAGTGTTTTCTGGGTTTTGTGACTTATATCAGGGTTGTTTCCAAAATCAGTTACACTTTTTTTATTTACCGAAAGCCAGTCTTCTGTAGAGGTGTTTGGTTAGTGAAAAAGCATCAGTAACCCTAGGACCATATGATTAGAAGGGTCATCTAGTTTTGCCTCCTGCCACGATTCAGAATTTATTGAATCTAAACCTTCCAAGACAGACCTAAGCAGGCACAATAAAATCAACCACTAGTGGATTGATGGCTGCAGCGTGGACCCATCAGGTAATGAAGACGAGCTCTGCTCTGCTCTATTGCTTTTTGTCCTGCCCTCTGTGGCAAGAGAGAACAATGTTTCTCCATCTTTTTCAAGTGTCTGATGATTATCATCTTACATTCCTCTTTTCCAAACTAAACATGCTAGTTCCTTCAGCCTTTGCTCTTATGGCTTACACAGCATCCCTTGCATTGTCTTTCGTGCTCGCCTCTGGATTCTTTCCAGTTCTCTACATCCCGTTTATACAGCGGTCACCCATATTGGACCCAGTACTCCAGCTGAGGGCTAACTAGCACTGAGTAGAACAGCACAGTCACCTACCATAATTGCAAGCTGTGCCACTGTTGCTGCAATCTAAAATTGGTTTTGGGTAGGGTGTGGTGGTTTTTTGTGGTTTTTTTAACAGCATCACGTTGCTGACTTATGTTGAGGTTCTGATCCATCACAGCCCCTAGCTCCATCCCTGCTGCTACCCAGCCAGGTTTCCCCACCTCTGTATTGGTGCATTTGGTTTTTTTGCCCCAAGTGTGGCACTTTACATTTGTCTTTGTTGAATTTCATTTTGTTGGCAATAGGCCAGTTTTGTGATTTATCAGGATCCCTCTGAACTTTAGCTCCATCCTCCAAAGTGTTGGCAATCCTTCTCCCTCAGTTAGGGTTGCCAGATGGTTTAACCAAAAAGACCGAACACCTCCCACCCCCTCAAAAAAACCACTGGGAAAAAATTCTGTTGGGTGGAGGGAAGGGAGGGGAGACCAAAGTTGTTGAGGAAAAAAAAAAGGACTCCAAGAGTTATTAAGAAAAACAAAACAAACAAATAAATAAATAATAAACCAGCCTGGCCCCTTTCAGAGTGCATGCAGAAGCAGAATAGGAATAGGAACAGGGAAGCTGTTGAGTATTGCTTCCACTTGGTCTTTAAGCTTTTTGCTGGCAGCCATTTTGTTTTCTTGATCATGCCAGAATGCGGCTTCCCTGCAGAACCAGGTAAGCAGGAGGTCTGAGGGCGGAGGGCTGAAGGTGTTGGGGGTGAGGCTGGGGGCTGGGCCAAATTGCTGAGTGTGTCATAGGGTTGCCAGGTGTCCAGTATTTTCACCTCCTGGTTGGGAAAAAACCCAGAAAATACTGAGCATTTTAGGTGTCCATTATTTTCTGAATTTTTTTACCGGACTGGAGGCAAAAATACTGGACTGTCTGGGTCAATAACAGACACCTAGCAACCCTACCCTCAGTTTTGTGTCATCTGCAGGCTTGATCAGTGTGGACTCTGTTGTTTGTTTTGTTGAGAGAACTGGCTTCTGCCAGTATCCCACAGTGCCTGCCCTGATAGCTGTGCTCAGTGGTTTGAGACCTCTGCTGCCCTGCAGGCATGCGCTCCTCCCCTTTCAAAGCTCCCAGAAATATCTCACAGGTGAGTGAGCTGCTCCATTTGGGGAACAAAGAACAAATCATTGGAATGCTCCTCTTTGGCCCTGCACTGGGAACATGGCGGCAGGCAGACTGCTGCTGCAGGGGGAGGGCTGGAGAGACAGCTGTTTTGATATTCCTCAGCACAGAGAGCTCACAGCGTTACAAGGCAATCCCAAGAAGTGCAGGGATCAGCTGAGGGACTTGGGTCTGTTTAGTCTGGAGAAGTGAAGAGTGAGGGGGGATTTGATAGTAGCCTTCAACTTCCTGAAGGGAGGTTCCAAAGAGGATGGAGAGAGGCTGTTCTCAGTAGTGAGGGACGGCAGAACAAGGAGCCATGGTCTCAAGTTGTGGTGGGAGAGGTCCAGGTTGGATATTAGGAAAAACTATTTTACTCAGAGGGTGGTGAAGCACTAGGGAGGTGGTGGAATCTCCATCCCTGTAAGTTTTTAAGTTGTGTGTTGACAGACCCCTGGCTGGGTTGATTTAGTTGGAGTTGGTCCTGCTTTGGGTAGGGGCTTGGGCTCCATGACCTCCTAAGGTCTCCTCCAGCCCTGTGATTCCATGATTCTATGACATGAATAACCTCCCAGCTCTGAAACCCAAAACAAAGATGAATGACTGTGCTCCAGCCTCCATACTGCATTTTGTAGTCTAAAGGCAAACTGAGAAGAGGAGAGCTGGAGAAGGGAACTTTCTGGGTGTCTGGCTGGTGAGTCTTGCCCACATGCTCAGGGTTTAGCTGATCGCCATATTTGGGGTCGGGAAGGAATTTTCCTCCAGGGTAGATTGGCAGAGGCCCTGGAGGTTTTTCGCCTTCCTCTGTAGCATGGGGTACAGGTCACAGCTGGAGGATTTGAAGTATTTGAAGGCTTCAATATCTGAGATATAGGTGAGAGGATTATTCTAGGAGGGGTGGGTGAGATTCTGTGGCCTGCACTGTGCAGGGGGTCAGACTAGATGATCATAATGGTCCCTTCTGACCTTAAAGTCTATGAGACTATGAGTCTATGAGCTCTAGCTTCCCTCAGCACTGCCCTGTGGGATGCTTATCCACATTGCTTTGCTCTGTCTGTCATCAGGGTGTGTTGTGTGGTTCGATTTATTTCCGATCCAAGGGAAATCAGTACACTTCAGGGCTACTTAACCACTTCCTTATTTATTGCAAGCTTTAAGCAGTTAGTAAAATTGTTTAAGTTTACAAGCCTTAAGAATAACGACTCTACAATTTAAACCTCAAATACTATCATTCTAAAGCCAAATAATCCAGCGCAAAGCAATGCAAAAGCACTTACTAGAAGATCTGCTCTATACAATAGTAAAGCCTAATTCTCTTACACTTCGCCCGTATGCTACCTACAGTGCCGTGCAGGAAGTCGTGGTTCTGTCTTTTCCCACGCAATGGAACGCCAGGCACTGACGTACCTGGTGTAAAGGACCTAATCACTCCTAGTTACCGTGAGCAGGACGTGTGGGTCGATCCTGCCCATTCCCTCCCATCAATTGTTCTTACTAAGCCCAATTTATAGCAAAGTGAGACTTGGTCATTCTAATAATATTTACCAATTGATTACGTGTTGTGTAGCTACATCACATGCCCAATGACCCTATCTAGGGAACAGCCTGCTACTCAGGATGTTACTGCAGTGTGCACAGTTAACAGTTTTATGGCTGCATCTATACTTTGTCCTTATCAGAACCAAAGTACCGGCACAAGGCTGCTTGTCGTGAGTTCTTGACGGGGTCTCGTGTACCAGGCTTAATCTGCATGGTTATGCAAAACAGTTCCTGACTCTCGGGCCCTGCCTGTGTGCTTTGTTACACCAGACTTGAAACAGGCCAGAAAGCTGCACTTTGGACAAGGCAGGGTAGTGCAGGCTCCCCCACAAGGGGCTAGCAATGTGGCCAGGGCATGTCGACAAGGGGAGGCAGAAAAGCTAGTCTGAAGGGTTTTCACTTTTGGCGACTTTTGCGGATCGACAGGACGTTTGTCACCAACCCTTCCCAATGCAGACAGAGCTGGAGTCCGCCTTGGCTCTTTGTCGACAATAGAGGGAGGGGGAAAGACAAAACTCTCTTGCAGGGCTGGCAGGGTGATATTCCTGACCCAACTTGTGTTGCTGTGCAACGCTCTCACTGCTTGGCCGACACAAGGCAGGCTTTGGTGACACATTGTGGCAGGACAGAGAAGGGCTCAGACAGCCTGTGCCTCAATTTACTCCACTTTTTGTCACCTCTCTCGCCCTGGGGCAGAGCTCGTGTGGGCCTGACGTTTTTGGTGTCTTCAGGGCAGCTGTTTGCATTCTTGGAAGGCAGAAGTTCTAAGACTTGCAGCTGCCTAGCACCCAGCATTTGTAAACAGCCTCAGGCCTGTGCCCGCGTAAGGACACAAAAAGGGGAAGTTCAAACGGAAAGAGATCAGGATCAAATGGGCGAGAGAAACAAGCAAAAGATGACGAGACAGATAAACGCTGAGGGACAGAGATGTTCAGTCTGTTGCGAAATGTTTATAAACTCTATTCCTACTCGATACAGAGTCCATTCCGCCATGCCCCACCCCAGAGGTGGCTGCATCTCAGCACCAGGCCAGAGATCCCTAGCCCCCCTCAGCATTGGGTGAGGGATTCCTGGATGAGCAGTCCTTGTGCTCCACCCCAGAGACAGCTGCCTGTCACCACCAGGCAAGAGGTCTTTGTATAAAAGCACAGCCTGGAAAGCGTCGTCTTCTTGAGCAGATTTGCTGGCATCAGGGGGTAAAAGATGGTCTCTCTTTTACTTTGAAAATATGCAAAGGGTCTCCTACTGCTATTTGTCGTTTCACTTCTCCCCTTTCTCTGTGCTCAGCAGGGATGTGGGGGGCGTGGGCCCACAGCTGGGTCCTAAATTACAATATAGATATGAACCAGATTGCTTCACGGATTTCTTAAGTATCTGCATTACTGTCCCTACAGGGATCCCATGCCTGGTGTGTACTTGTGGCTGCTTCTGAGGTGAGGCCGTGGCAGGTATAGATTTAGAGCCATAGAATCAGAACTGG